GCCATAGCCGAGGTGGCAGCCGAGGGAGATAGTCCGCCATAGCGGACCTGAGGTTGAAGAAGCCGCCGCGCACCTGCAAGAAGACACGATGAAGAAGAAGATCGAGAGAGAGAGAGAGAGAGAGAGAGAGAGAGAGAGAGAGAGATGAGAGATACAAGATTGGGTTACACGTACCTGCTGCGCTGAAGATACCGCTCCGGCGAGAGTGTGTGAGAAGGTTGCCATGGCTGTAGTTAGTAGTGAGTGTGTGTGTGTGCTCGAGTGTTAGAGTGATGCGTGTGGGATATCCAGGGTGATCCCGTGTATGTGAACAGTGAGATGTTTGGGCGCTGAGGTCGCCATAGCCAATTGGGAGTGAAATATCTCTGAGTTTGAGTGGGCGCATGTCGCCAGTATGCTGCGTTACTGTTTACATGTGTGAAAAGTGTGTTTGAAAACGAGTCTGATTGCATGTTGATTGTGGTGCCTTTTTCCTCCCCGTTTTTGGGAATATGTGCAGATATGAAAGGAAAAATACGTGTGTATGCCCGATGCCGACCACTGAGTGAGAAGGAGAAAGGTGATAAGGAAAAGCATGTCATCGCAATGCCGGATGAGTTCACAATTGAGCATCCGTGGAAGGACGATAAGCCAAAGCAGCACCAGTTTGACCACGTCTTTGACAGTACTGTATCACAAGAACAGGTGTTTGAAGACACTAAGGTAATTGGTTAAACCTGCAAAAGGTGGGGTTGTGAGATAGGATCCAATCAAGGGAAATTGGGCGATGAGTGTGTCCTTCTCTGTCTCAGTCCACCCTTCAATCTATCGTTTCCTGCCTGTTTGCTTGCCTCCATACTCCCTCCCGCTTATCCCTCCCTCCCTCCCTCCCTCCCTACAGCCTTTTGTTCTTCCTCTGTTTCGTCGCTTCCTCCATGTGTTCCTCTCTTCCTCCCTTTTCTCTTTCATCCTTTTCCTTCCTTTCCTGTTAGCAGGGTTGCACAGAAATACCCATATTGTGATGAGGTCCAAAAGTTGTGGTCCTGGGTGAAAGGCAGAGAACAGGCAGCGTGCTATAGTACTGAATGTGGTCAAGGGTAAAAAGTTGGGAGGCAGCATCTTTGGAGTCTGGAGCCAAAGGGACAGCCGGTATGCAGGAACTTCACAGAAGTAGTCCCTGCAGCTGTAGAAATGTGTTCATTTTCTTTCTCTTTTTTGTTTGCTTCTTTTGCAGAGCCACAGTTCCATATGCCGTGTCAAAAATGTGGTTATCAAATCTTTTTCATTGGCTGCGATTTAGACATGCGAACGGCTATCTGGACGTCTAAATATATCTGGAGACGTGTTTGGGGTTAATAAAACATTTGTTTTCTCACCCTTCTGATCCCTATCCTGCCTCTCCAAAGGCAGACTCCTGTTCCTTTTATTTCTCTTTTAACAGGTGAGAACTCAGGTTTGTTGGTGGGGAGCATCACCTGCTGCAAAAAGGGCTCAGTGTCCCTTCGAAAGAATAATCAGCTTTTGCTGGAAATTGGGTTCAGCATTGATGAGCATTGAGAAATGCTAGGTAACGAGTCCAGTGTTACCTGCTAACCGCTGGCATCAGTGGAAGAATTAGCATGCCAACCACTGGGGGCAGTGGAAGAATTACCATGCTAACCGCTGGCGTCAGAGGAAGAATTACCAAATTCTATGTTTTCTTCACCTGGCAATCTTGAGCAAGGATTCAGGACCTCGGCTAGGCAGAAAAGGCCCTGCCGCCCTTTAGGGTCTCCTCCAATTGTTATGCCACCAGTTCCAGGGCCATTTGTTTCCCAGTATGGAAGAGCTTAACCCCGTAGTGTAGACATGGGTCGAGCTCAAACCTTGGCTCGGTCTCTTTCATTCCTTCTCTGCAGCTACCAGGCAGGCTCAAGTGTCGTCTCCTACAGGGCCTGTAGGACCATCACATCCTTCAGCTTTTGCCAAAACGAACACGGCGCAGCCAGCTGTGCTCATAGGTGACAAGGAAGAGAACCTAGACACATGGCTCAGGTCTGCACCTCGGTGTGTACGGACAAAGGACACCCGTGCAGACAAGGAAGTTATAGTGGCAGCATCCTTTTTGTAGGGCTCTGCTGCGAGGTGGTTAGATGGCGTAATTGCGGAGGCAGGCTATGGACGTGACATGGCATCTTGCTCAGGGATGTGAGGCTATATTGGTGGAAGTGGCCTCATTGACTAACAGACCCTTGATATGATCCGGAAGACATGTAAGATAACTGTTGAGTAAGATCTCCGTATCATACCACACACCAGGCACCATGAGTTTCTCCACCTTCTAAGTGACACTCTTGACATTGGTATATTTACGAATATCAAGGTTCTTAGGCTCGTCGGTAGCCCTTTGGGCTCGCTGCCTATCATGCCACCTAGCTTCTACTAGGGTCATGAACTGGTCTGGCGTGACAGTGGCTTGCCATCCTGCCATGTCACGTCCAGAGCCCCACATGGCAGAACAGCGTAATAGCAGAGCCAGGCTATGGACGTGACATGGCAGGATGGGCAGCCACTCTCACGCTAGATCAGTTTATTGCCCTAGTAAAAGCTAGGTGGAACATTTAGGGGGCAAGCCCAAAGGGCTACTGCTTAAACCACCAGTATGCTTCCGAGCTATCAAGTCCGAACCTCCCGCTACCAGTATGCCGATCCTTGGCGAGGCTCCCGCTACCGGTAGCGGGAAGACAAAGAAACGAAATGGGAGGGGGGAGGGAGAGAGAGAGAGAGAGAGAGAGAGAGAGAGAGAGAGAGACATGCCCAGTTGGGCAATGTATGTGGAGCCAAGGATCCGCAGAGTGATGAAAAGGACTACAATGGATAATGCAATGTCAGCAAAGCATCAACAACCAATGTACATCCAGATACATACAAAATAGCACAATGTAGCTGTTGCATACTCGTGAAACACAGTCATAAGTATGGCGCAGATTCCCAGAACCGACCAGATAATACAGAGTTAATACAAATACAGATACAGTGGAAGACTTGGTACACATGGACTGACTCTGACCTGACTCAGACTGCAATGAAACACTCTCAACATGCATCAGTGGTGTGAAAGCCCTGGCCTTGGACACGGAAGGAAAAGTCCAGGGTCTGAGATCATACACGGACGAATGGAGGGAGAGGAGAGACGAAAGGAGGAGGAGAGAGAAGATGACGTCAACACGAGTATCCAAAAATAGTATCTCGAAAGTAGCGCAAATCCGGAATGTTGTGAATACAGAATCTCACAGTGTCCCAGATGTCGATCTTCTCAGATCAAGATACATCCCCAGAAGTAGATGAAGTCGGATCCCAGAAGTAGTCCTCAACCGATGTCTCAATGTTCCCATCTCAACTGTCATCAGAACTCGTCACCATCCTTCGTACCAAAGGCGCGAAGCACAATTCCGAGTATAGTGGTCCAGTAGAGTAGACTTTGATTTAGAGGGTAGAAGGAGAGAGAGAGAGAGAGAGAGAGAGAGAGAGAGAGAGAGAGAGAGAGAGAGAGAGAGAGAGAGAGAGAGAGGAAAGGTGTGACCTTCCTCCCAGATACCTGATGCGGTAGCTATGGCGCTGCAAGGCTGGCGCTGGGCCGGTGGCTGGCGCTGCTCCAGCTGCTGCGCTAATTCCTCCTTGCCGCTGCGCTCGTTCTCTTCTGGCTGCTCCTGCTAACGCTGAAAGGCTGCGCTAGTCCTGCTAACGCTGAAGCGCTGTGCAAAATCCTGAAGACTAACCTCCGCACTACTAACCTACCGACTGAGGCTGGTACCCAGCTGATATAGTGCTGGGTCGGCCTCAGTCCTACTGAGTGCCTTTGGGTCTGGACCATTGATCGGGCCCAACGGTTCAGATCCAATTTGAATCTGAAAAGTGGCACCTAAAACTGTGCCGCCGGCCGGTCCTAACGATGGACCGGTACCTGGCCTAACCAACTAGCTGTTGGGTCTGGTGGGGTCTAAACGAGGCCTACCGGACCCTAGACTGAACCGACGGTTCCTAGGCCTACCTGGACCTAGCTGGGACCGTCGTGACCTGGTACCTAGGCCTAAACCGTGCCTACTACAAAACCGGGCCCTAACTGGGGCCCGTGTGGTATCAGTATGCCACAGTAGCTCAGCGGAAGACTCAAAGATATGTCGTGACCTGTCTGATACTGACGCGACATCCCATCATACACCACACATGTGAGAGAGGGAGGAGGGACCACATACACAGAAGAAAGGTCCCTCCTTGCACACACATATGGGGGAAATACCACGGATGAGGGATGGGGAGAGAGGCGAGACGAAGATGAGGGCGAGGGAGGAGACCAAGATTGCTATAGCGAAGTCTAAAAATAGTCCCCTGCCAAATGTCCAATCAATGTCTGACACAAAAATGTCGGATCAGATCCTGGGCACAATGCCCGGTGTAACCTCTGCCTGTAAACTTTAACTCTCTCTCTCTCTCTCTCTCTCTCTCTCTCTCTCTCTCTCTC